TTCGAACCACCAAGCATGAGAGCATGTTCTAGTACACCCCCAAAACAAAATCAAGACTTTGTAAAAGAGCATAATAAGTTTTTTTTTTTTTTTACTTTGTCAATAATAAGAGTTGAAAAATGTGCAAAAGAAAAAGAAAAAAAATGTCCACACACTGAAAATAAAGATCCAAAAGCGCAACAGTTTTAATTAATATTGATAAATATGTGAAGAGAATGTGCTAATACATCCATTTAACCCAGTGGTTCTCAACCCGCGGCACGTCACAAATTCAAATGCGGCCCACCGTGCTGAACACAATTAAAAAAAAAAAAACTTTCAGTTTTACAATTCATTTTAGTTTTTACATTAATTTAAAAATGTACTAAACAAATATAAGCTATAATGTTTTTGTTATGTAAAATAATTTTGTTTTTCATATATTATTTTCAGACATGAGCAGACCTGTAGGCTACTCACATAATTAACGTTACACATTTAGCGAACACTTACAAGCGTGCACTTTGGCAGAATTCAATTTAAATAGTCATCAGCAGCCATTAGTTCGGTAAAATTGAGCATCAGAATGGACAAATTTGTTATTAAGGGAGAAAAACGAAATGTGGAAAATGCCAGCGAAGGAACACATACAAACAAGAATAGTGGTAGTATCAGCAGTGAAGGAGAGTGCTGGACTTTCGGCATCAACTTTCGGTTTGCCCCGCCACTCACTTGAAGATGTTCAGGCAAAAGGAAACACCCATACTAGCTACGCAGCAATCATCCTTAATTGCAGAAATGTGACAAAACATCTCTGGTGAGAACCTCAGATTATTAAATTTGAAAGTGCTTTCCATATTTGGATCAAGAACGCACATTTCCTGCAATGTCACGCGTCAAGTCACGCTTCCGTGCGTGTCTTACAGACTGCAACTTACAATTGCAACTTCATTGTGCTGTTACTCCTTTCGAGCCGAATTTTACAAAATTGGTCAGCTGCCGACAGCTTCAGGTGTTTTATTAATGGTGAGAAGAATTATTTATTTATTTATTTCAATGAATGTAATTAAATATAATATTTAGGCTATAATATTATAAATCTGGTTGGTTTGTATTGGTGACGTAATATGTAAATGATATGCAAATTATATCCGTGCAGCCCGTGAGACTTGCACTTGGACCATAGTGCGGCCCAGTGGAAAAAAAGGTTGAGAACCACTGATTTAACCCTTAAAGGGGTGGTTGAGTTGTTTTGTTCTAGGCTTGATTGTGTTTATGGGGTGCAGTCTAACATGTGTTCATGCTTCGTTTTTTTAAAAAACGCATTATTTTTCACTTAATTTACCTTTATTCTTCACCGCTCTGTCCTTTCTCTGATAAACGGGCTGATCATTTCCTGCTTTTATGAAGCCCCTCCCTCAGAAATACGCGATGGACTCTGATTGGTTAGCTAGTGCAGTGTGTTGTGATTGGCTAAACCGCTTCTGGTGCGCGTCTAAATGTCCCACCCCTCACCTCAGCGGCATGAGCTCCGGTTGTATTGTAAACAATGGCGTCGTCTATATTGCTTATCAATTTGAGCCCAATTGAGACGCAGAGGATATTAGTGAAGAGCATGCACGGCTCTTAATGGTATGTTTGTTTGTTGTTGTCTCATACTTTTAGATACGCTGTTATTTGTGAATGCTACTGCTTCTGTTAGCTTTTAATATACGGTTTTATCCTGATTAAAGCTTTAATACAGTACGGAAACTGCATGTGCGTCCATGTATAGCCTGATGCTTCTCATAGCTATGTGAAAATAAGTGTATAAATGGAACAGAGCTGAGCTGAATGAGAGAGAGAGAGAGAG